TTGCTGAATCGCAGTTTCTGAACTGCGCGAAAAAGTTTCTGAATCGGGCGAAATAGTTTCTGAATCGTAGTTTCTGAATCGGGCGAAATAGTTTCTGAATTGTAGTTTCTGAATCGGACGAAATAGTTTCTGAATCGTAGTTTCTGAATCGGCCTAGTTTCTTGAATCGGTGCAAGTAGTTTCTGAATCGGTCCAAAAAGTTTCTGAATCGCAGTTTCTGAATCGGTCCAAATAGTTTCTGAATCATAGTTTCTGAATCACGGGAGCGTCATTTGTAGAGAAATTGATGAAGACAACTCGACGAAATTTTGAGGGTACTCCTCACGGGAGCGCGATTTTTGAAGATGTAAAGACGGTAAAAACGCAAAAAACGCGACTGTCTCGAGCGGGAGCGCGATTTTTGAGTAAGCAACATGGAACTTTGAGGATGTCTCGCACGGGACCGCGCTTTTCGAAAATTGGGGCGCGACCCGTTCGGTTACAGACCCCTCTAGCAAGACTACTTTACAGGCAGAATGGCCTGTTCTTTAATCGAAAATCAACATACAAGCACGATTGTTTGAGGATGCCCCGAGCGAGAGCGATATTTTGCGACGATTTAGGGTGCGTTCCAAATGTGTGCGCGACGGAAGAGCACGCAGGGATGGCGGGCGACAGTACATCAAACAATTAGAAACCCTCGGTGGATGTGGGGAAAAAATGCCCGAAAGGTCATCCTTTGGGTAAGTCATTGCCACATCTTTCAAAGTTTTCCGGTGCCTCCCAGCTTTCGAGGAAGCGCTTAGCCAAGCGCACTCCATTTTAAAGCCACGGTTTGTTGGTACGATTTGGTGTGCAAGGTACTGCTCATGCCTGTATTCAATGGGCTGGCCGCCGAATTGTGGGGAGGGCTGGGCTGATGGGTTCGGGCTTTAGGGTCTACATATGCGTATGCCCATTCATATGGTATACTCATGCTACGCGCGAGCTTTGCGATGGTGTTACTGATGACTTTATGGAGTCTAGACCAATGCAAGGGTGGTCGTGGAGGGTTTCATCAGAGTTTAGGTCTAAGTTTAAAGCATCATGATCCGAAAAACGCACGAGAATCGAATTGTGCTCATAACGCTTCCGTTCCCGGAACGCACACCCGGGCCGCTACGCCTAAATCTGGCCCTTCTGCTGCGGTGCAGGGTCAACGCCCGCTTCGCTAGTGTGAAGCTTTACAAGCAGTGGCGCCGGTGCTGCATTGAACTCTCGCTTTGACCAACCATGAGTGGGCGGCCTCAAATTTACATGCGTTTTAGGCTTAAGGGATGCCCTTCTTTCAGAATTTCAATGTCCTTGTTTCTGAAGCTCCAAAACCTATCCTGGGATGATGATGATGATGATGATGATGATGATGGCACAAGCACTCACGCGCTTTAGGCTATAGAGCTTGCCCTTTGTGTTGCTTATGCATGCCGCGTGAGGCCATGGTTGTAACCACGACGATTCTGGGGTTCAGCCTGGGATTCTACGGTTTTGAATAGTATGAACTGAACAACCTAAACCCAAACCCTAAACTGTGAACCGTAAAAACATTATCCCAAAAACCTTAAACAGCAAAAATACAAAAAGCCCTAACAGCCCTGAACCTAAAAAACCCTCAACCCGAAAAGCCGTAAACACGTTGAAACCCCTTAACCCTACAAACCTGGAATTAAATCCCACCAAAAAAAACAAGTAAACCCTCAACAAACATAAATCCTAAACCCCCAAAACGCCAGAAACCCTTAAGAAACCCTTAACCCTAAAAGCCCAAAACCCTAAAAACCCTAAACCCCAAACCTGCATAAACATCCTAAACCCCAGAAACCTTCAAAGCCCCAAAAGCCATAAACAGCCTAAGCCCTAAAATAGCACGAAACCCCAAACATCCTAAACCCGCTACTGTCCAAAAAGCCCTGCAACCTGAACACCCCAAACCCCAAAGCCCTCAAACCCTGAAAAAAACTAAATCCCAAGAACCCTAATACTAATGCCTAGTAACCCTAAACCCTAACAACCAGAACCCCCTGAACCCTTAAAAAAAAAAACCGAACTCCCTAAACCCGAAGAAAAAGCTCAAACCTAAAAACTCAACCAAACACAAATGAAAATTCTAAAAGCCTCAAACCCTAAAATTCTTAACCCTAAAAAGCCTTAAACCCTACAAACACTAAAACCATAAACCCTGAAAGCCATAAACACCCTAAGCCCTAAAAAGCCCTCAATACCAAAAACCCTAAACTCTAAACCCTGAAAGCCCTAAACCCGGGTTTACGGTTTTTATGGTTGTAAGGGTTTATGCAAGCAGTCTGCGGACCATCCATGGTTTAAGCTTCTTAGGATCTGGGGCTCAGGTTTGTGTAGTTAACGACCCTAAAAGCCCCGGCGCTCATAAACGTTGAAAACCCCAAACGCTGAAAACCCTGAACCCTCCTGGAAATCCAAAAACAAATCCTTAAACCACTGAAAATCTTAGCCCGCAACCTGAAACCCTGAACCCCCCATGCCTGAAAACCCTAAACCGTACAAACCTTACTTATATACAAACCCTAAAAGCCATAACCATCCCGAACCCTAAAACTCCAGAACCTAAAAACCCTTCAAGTCCTAAAAGCCCTAAGCCCTAAAAACCCTAAACACTCTAAAACCCAAGAACCGAAACCCTGAAGAAAACAAAACACAACATCCTAAACCCTAATAGTCATAAACAGCCTGAGCCCTAAAAAGCACTAAACACCAAAACTTTCAAACCCTGAAAACTCCCGTAGGGGCGAAAAACCCTCAAAACCTACACTCTAAACACCCTAAACCCTGAACAGCCTCAACCCAAAACACCCTGAAGCCCCAAAAAAAAAGAACCCTAAACCCAAAAAGGCCTACACCATAAAAGGCCTAAAGACCCTAAACCCGGAAAACCCGAAACGCTGAACCGAAACCCCAAACCCTAAACCTCGAAAACCCTAAACCGCAAGAAACGCTATACCGTAGCCTATACCCTCAAGACACTAAGCTTCAACCCAAAAACCCTAAACCCCGAAAATCCTAAAACCCCTTGAAGCGGAAAAGGCCCTAAACCCTACAAAAACACTAAAAACCCTAACACTAAGAGCAACAAAAGCCCTGAGAAGCCCGAAGCACAATCGCAAGACATGACAACCCTTAAAATTAGAAACCGGTAAAATCGTGAACCCTCAAAAACCTCAACCCTAAACCCTCAAAGCCATAAACCCTAAAAACATTTAACCCTAAAAGCAACCCTAAATACTAAAAACAATAAGCAAAAACAAACAAAAAAATGAAACCCCTTAAACCTGAACCCTGAAAACAAACCCCATACCCACAAACCCTTGACCCTACAAACCCTAAACCCTGAAAACCTTCAACCACGAATCCTAAGCATCCAAACCCTCAAAGCCCCAAAAAGCCTTGAACCGTAAAAAACAAAGCTTAAAAACTCGCAACCCTAAAAACCCTAAACACACAAACACCCGAAACTGTGCCTCAAAACCCTAGACCCTAAAAACCCAAACCCTGGTGACCATGACACCCCTAAGTGTCCCTAAACCCTCTACGTTCCAAACTGCACGTCTTGCGCGCGCTTGTACTACCCTACCTCCTCCTCCTTTTGCTCTTACACTTGCTCCGGCTCTGTACACTACTGTGCAGGCAGCAGGGCCGCCCGTTCCGCTCGGACTAGAAATTGGCAAGTCTAGACCAAGGCTGGGACAGGCTTGCCAAGAGACAGCACGAGAGCAACCTCAGAAAACCCTTCTCTGTGATTACGCACATGTTGCCATGCCGCATGACCCCTGGCCAATGAGGGGCAAGCGCGCTGCAGCTCGCCACCGCTAAGTGTCTGCACCTGCTTACATGGCGCATACGTTCAAAACATCCACGAAGTCAACAAGCAAAGAAGGATGAGACCAGTCCAGAAGTTGAAGCTAGCATTAATGCAAACAACGCCAGTGATGCAAGACTCTGCCTGATGGTCAGCAATTTGGTCGATAAGCATGGGCTTTGTGACATCTGTCTGGAACTGCGGATGCATAAACCTGAAACCACACCATGCGCAATCTCAATCAACAGCTCCCCTCCAGCTTATCCCAGTTTCAGCACAGCAACGCATCCCGAATCTTCATCAGGAAAAGGTCCTCCACAGCAACAAGATACTCATCCACTGCTGGCGACCGCCACGGGCCACGGTCGCTCCTTCACAGTGCCCTCAAACTTTGCACTGATGGTTTGTGGTTTGTAGGACACCTGAATGCTAATTCTCACCAGTGTCTTGTACAAGCTGGCAAGCATGCTACCACTGTCAGCTCCCGGCGTTCAGTTTTGGTATCTCCTCACCTCACAGGGTGCTGAGCGAAGCCACGTCTGTGGTCCACATAAGATGGTGATTTGCAAATTGTTCAATTGTAGGGTAGCAACCTTCCTTGACGTCGTCAGGATTCAGCAATCCCGCCAACATTCGGATAAATGTGGTCTGCACACGCAATTGGTCAGGCATTGCCATCACTTAGCTCAAGCAGCAGGTCCTTCCCACAACCATTCTGGCCCAGCAGAACCAATATTTCCGAAGATGCGAAGTTCCCAGCCTGGCCAAGGTAGAGGTTCACAAAAGTACCAATGTCAGATAGGACCTTCTAGAGCTGCTTCAAAATTTGCCCGAGTCCTGCTCGGTTCAGCAATTTGGCACTTCGAGAGAGCTGCGCCCTTCCCAATTTCACTAAGGTGCGCCATTGTGACGCTGAACAGACACGGACAGACAAGGGGGTGGAGTGTGGAAATGAGTGTGGACCTGTTTCCTTGGTCCATGCACGGGAGGAAGGTCAAGCACAAGAAGAGTCTGTGGATGGGAACAAGGTGACTGACTGTTTCCTGAAGAGGCAATAGAGAACTGTCCTTCGCGATATTCATTCGGTAGGAAACTCGGATTCTAGGTCCCAAAGTTGCATTTGGGGGATGGGATGCGGGGGCGATCCCTGCTAGCCCCACAAGCAGCCTTGCGTTCACCTTTGACGAATCTCATATGTCTTGCCCCGCCATCTCAAAATGCTTTCCCAGACCGATTTCTGATCAGACCCCCGCCATAGCACAAAACAGGTCGATGACCTACTTTCCATAGCTGATTTGGGGTGTATTTTTTTCTTTGCCTCAACTGGCGCATGACGGCCCATCCAGTACCGAGTCAGCACATACGTTTGCACTTCGTGAGCCCTGTTGGCCTTCCCACCAGCCTCCTGCTTGGGTTTCGTGGGTTACCATGCAGCATCATGCAGGCATCCGTTGGAAAGAGGATCTGGACGAGGAAGAGATGTAAGTAAGCATAGGACAACCGTTCAAGCGTGTGTTCGATTTGTTCACTCGGCACCTCCAGAAAGCACTCCCAACCATGTCTCCTAACCCAGAAGCACGGCCTACCTTGATGTCCAACCGGAAGTCGCCCATCAGCTTTGACATGTCCGGATACCTGGGAAAGACTCCTCTACGGCTGATGAACCATGTTCTGGTGACTCTTGTTCAGGCACTCTGTGTTGTGCATCCGATCCAGTTTGGAGGGATCCAAATCTTCGCTGACTTTGAAACTCAGAGAAACCTGCGCGTCACGCAGGGTTGAAAGCATACCTCAACAGCCACGTTTTCTAGCGCCTCTCGAAATCTGAGATTCTCCTGGATTTCCGCGCAAGTTGTCGCTCGCATGCTTGCACGTGCCGAAATCCACTGTCTGCATCTGTCTGCTACGTGTTGCATACACGCGTCCGTGGGGATGAAGCCGTCCAGGAACACGTTGATACCTGGCAGGGCGACTGACAGTGTCGAACCCAAACATCTTAGTTCATGACTTTTGCAGGTGCCTTCACGCACGCTGAAAGGCATCGTAACAACTCCATAGGCTCCGGCTGAACCCCACCTGGAGGTGGCTGCCATGCAAGCTTGGGCGCTGCTGTGCTCACCATTGTCGAAAACAACCGATTCGTAATGACCAGCCAGTGCTGCAAGCAGCAGATGAAATCGGACAAGTAGTCCAACACAGCCAAGTCGTGCCTGAAGATACATCAACACGTAGAGGAGGAGACATGCTCAAGCAAAGACGCCGGCTCAACAACGATGATGTAGTTGTCGACAGTTTGTAAGCTTCGAATGACCTTCAGCCATATGCAACGAATCCTCTACTTGGCGGTCCAGTGCCCATCTTTTTCCCCAAAAGATACTTGCGAAGGGTCTTCTTCGTGGAGGAGGTTGGCTAAAGAATGGCGTGATCAATTAGGATGCCTTGATTTTTGATTAACAGGATGGCGTGATGTTTGCGGGTGGTTGCTGTCAGGTTGTTGTAAGGGTGTTGTTGTGAGGTATCGGATGGGATGTGAGGCTCCTGAATTCGCCTTGGCCCTACCAAAAATCCCGGCACAAACCCCCCACCGCAACAACCCACCCCGGTTTTGCTTCATTTCGGGCGGTCCCTGTCACAAGCTCGAAATCTGAGCTTGCAAAATGCAAGAAGCACGTAACACTCAAGCGTACTGCCTATGAGCCCATTTAAAGATACCCCTGAACCTAGAGATCCGTTGCCTCTACCCCGTACTTAATTATGACCCCTCTAGTGCTTTAGACGCACCCCTAAACCCTAGATCTATGCCTCTATCCCGTGTCTATACCCCTGTCTCAACCACCGCCATTGCAGGCGACAAAGAACGTAGGTATAGCTGGACGACTGCCACCCTGTCGGGGCCCTCCTACACAGGTATTATAAGCATAGCGTTCTGGGACCTGGGACGCCCCTGAAGCAAAAGATGCTCAAAACGGATACTTTTTGGCCTTCCGGGGCTCCTCTAATTCTGGCGTCTACCGGACCATTTTTGGCTGCTCCCAGACCAATTCTGGACCCCTTGCAATCGTACCCAAGCAGCCGCAAAAGCAACGCGCCCGTGCCCAGGCGGCCGCAGAATCACCCGCCAAAAAGACGCCAAAATCCCTTGCCATACCCAAACCCTAAGGTTTGTCTTGGATCCCATAACCCTACACACCCATTCCAAAGCCTATCATACTATCCCTGAGCGCCTATCCCTATGCACCTCTCTCAAAATCCCTAAACCCCGAATCTGCCTCTTCCACACATCCTATGCACTCCCTTGAAGGGAGCGCTAAACCTAAAACATCCGTTGCCCATACTCCCTGGCCGCCTCTCCACAGAGACTCCCATACCCCCTATGCACCCCGCGCGAAGCACCGCTAATCCTTAAATCTCACCTCTTTCAAGTGGCCCCTAAACCTTGACTACCCCTGGCCCACACCCCCTAGGCATGCCTCCAAGAAGGCTTCATTGATATCAACTATATCAACTGCCCATACCTGCCTAGGCACCCCTCTGAAGGGACCCCTAAAACCTAACCATCCCTTGTCCCAAGCCCTTTCTTTAAAAACCGAAATCTCCCTTGCCCATACCCTTTAAGCGCTGCTAAGGACCCCTAAACCCAATACCCTGTTTGCAACCCTCCCCAGTCTCTACCCCCCTTCGCACCCCGCACAACCCTCCCTTGCAGTATGGCCGCCACCTACTCTACGCGCTGTAGCGCCGGGCCAAGGTGGGCGAAGCGATTACAATTCAAATGTTTTTAAGCGCGCGAACGGCTAGCGGGAGCCTCAGTCTCCCTTCCAAAAATGGGCTCCCGCGTGGTGCGTCCTCCGAGTTCTGCTTGGAATCAACAACCCTCTCAGTGTTCCAGGCGCATCCGGACACTCCTGCATGGAGCGTCCTCAGAATTTGTTGGCAATAGACGAACCTCTCAATGCTCCAGGCGCATCCGGTCGCTCCCGTGTGAAGCGTCCTCAGAACTTTGCTCGGAGAGGAGTTTCTCTGCGCAGGTGGTTGTCTACAGCACGGCTTGATGTTTTATAGGTGGGCGGTGGTGTGGTTGGCTGCCACGCTGGCGGACATGGTGGTGCTCGGCAAAGGTTGGGGGAAACTAGTGCCAAGCCATTACTTTCAACATCAAACCCAAGAGCAAAGACCAACCTCCTCGGCATCTGCTCGGCAGGTAAGCTCAAAAAAAATGTTTGAACTCGTTTCTCAGTGGCGGTTGTCTTTACAAATCATCTTGCTGCTTCCCCAAACGGAACTGCCGTGATTGCATTCCAAACTTGCAGATACAATAACCCTGTATTTCGCACTTTTCAACTGTCTTGTGGGTCGGTCAAATTCGGTCAAAATCACTTATCCTTCCTCAGCAGCAGCATCAAGCAGCTAGTGCACTACCTTCACATACATTCACACCGTTTCACACTGACATGTCTCCTGAGGAAAGCACTTGAGCAGCAGCTATGCGTTGCTTGACATCCAGATAGGAAGAGGGCCTCAGGGGGGCTGGTCTGGCTTGACCCATTTGATACCTTTACCTTGACATACCTTCCTATGTGATGGAAAGCAAACGCTGCAAGTCACAGCTGACCAAAGAAACTGAGGAGAATGCTCGTCGAACATGTACACTTGTGCATCTTGCACACATAGGACTGCCAGGATATCTATCCCTTGCAGACCAACCATCCCAAGCAAATTTCTGCCATCCTAAATGCGCCTGCGATGGCGAATCGCTGAAGCTCTCCACCGGACAAATCTTTGATCTCACGTTCCTATGCGCAGCGGTCTTTCTGGAAGAGTGGACCTCTGATACGTTGCGACTTGGAAAACGTAGCCATGCCTTGCGGGTGCCCCAAAACGACTTCTCAAAGCCAACAATCAGGTTTCATGGTCTCAGCTAATGTGCAGCCTCAAGGTTTTGAAGCCAGTACATCCGTGAACTGGCAAAGCAAGAGGCACCAAGCAGAAATCTCGGAGGATTGAGGGTACACATGTGAGCTGCGCACAAAACAGCAAGTGCCAACCCTCAGCCAAACTCAGAATTAAATCTGATCTGAAGAAGGTGCCCATCAAGCTTTTCACTGGATGACTTGGTTGAACCCAGTAAGATCATATCCTTTGTATAAAATACTATACCCCAAGAGCAGGACATAATCTTGCTCCATATTGGCTATCAAAGTACCTCCAGATAACTGGAAGCCACCGGATGAAAAGACTGAAGCAGAAACTCACAGCAGCTTGCAAGTCTTGACAAATGCCAGCATGCAGTACATGACAAAGAAGAGCGTACCTGCAAGTGCATCAGCTCAAGCTCCTGGCAGAACTTCTCCTGTCAGGCAATGTCAAAGTAGCTGGCAGGCTCTAGCAGTCAAGATCAACCAAAAAGGCCGCAGACCCTATCCCAATAGCAGACTTGGACATCACCTTGTGCCATCAATTTTCACAATGCGTTCCCATGGACATAGCTGCCATGCAGTCGCAGAAGAAAGCCAAGAGCGCAGGACTGTCCAACGTTTTCACAACGTGTGCTGGATTTTGATGTGCAGCCAAAAACGCCATCTCTGTGATTGCCGTGCAAAGGGTCTGTGAACTACAAACAGCGTGCTTGTGACTTTCATCTATTCGGACTTCGGGAGAACCGCATCTAGATGCTGCCCAACAGCGTGGGAGGCGACACTAAACGGCGTGTGAGTCTCAAGCTACACCATGCCTGTGGCCGAAGCGGCAACAACCAACACGCTGACGTCCTGAGATTTCTTTTCATCCTTCTTGCTCAAGATGTCAGACACGGTGCCGGCAATCTGTTTCGAAATCTTGTCGACATACCTGAAATGAAGGCCAACTGCCGGCAATGCCCACATGCGGATATCAAGCAACAATGATCCGATTGAGTTGGGTACTGGGGCTTGATCATCGCCTTAAGGCGATCTTCAAGCAGGCCTTTTATGTACCTGGCTTGACAACTTGCGCTCGCAACGACCCTCATGCCTTCAGCACAGAGCAGTCACTTGAATGCATGCTATTCGGCAGGTGCTTCTTGTGCGAAGTGCACACACGTGCACACACCAAAACCATTTATTGCTGTAAGACCGACTTTATGGGCACCAACGATCAGAGCGACAAGAAGTCGAGTACTCTGCCATGCGGGCTGGATGGCTTCGTAGGCTTCGGCTCCAGCGGAGCTTGGCCAAAGATTTGGAAACTTATTGAAACCATCCATCCATGAAGTCACGGCGACCGCAGGAAGGCACATATCCTGCCATTCAACGACTGTGATATCCACACTTTCTCAGGAAATCACACACAATCACAAACACATGCCGCGGACATCATGAAATGCTATGAATCATAAAACTGCAGCAAAAGTATATTCATGTATATTCCCAAATGCATTCCGAAATATTGCAAATTTTCTGAGGATGAAGACGCTGCATGTGAAGTTCCTCTTTCATCTGTACCATTCTCAGTATGCAAAGATCACTTCCGGTCATTTGGAGGTGCATCGATCATGCGCTCTCGCTCTGTTCGTGAAAAATGGGAGAATTCCTTCGCTGCCCTTAGCGGCGAGCTTTGACCCTAAACCACACTTCTCAGGTGTAAGGAGCTGCCCCGACCGACAAGAATCTCCGTGTTACTCCTCAAGGGCAAAGACCTCCCTGATTCCGGGGTTGCTTTTGAAACTGCTGCTTATTGCGGCTCTGTCAGTTCTCGGCGATCGAACAGAGTTCCATCAGCACTTGTGGAGCTGCGCGAGTGCGAAGCATCTGTCATCATGTCAGCTAAACACTTCAACAAGGAATATTCGGCTCGATCAAGTGTGTATCGCGTGCGGGCAGGCAGGCTGAGAGGCACAGGAACTGAGCAGGGCGCACATGTCGGCATTGACAGGGAGCAACTTTCATGGAAAGCTGCTTCACTGCAGCTGGTTCTACATGAAAGGGAGAAGGTGGTGGCATTTCTTTCTTTCAGGCGCAATCGCCACACCGCTGGACGCTTGACGCAGGAATGTTGTTGGAGCCACATTATGGTGCACATGGTCCAATGTGCAGGACACCACACCAAGGTCCATGAATTGCCGGGGGCACACAAACACCCGCATAATGCAAGAGCGCCGCCCCCCCAAAGGTTCGGACTCACGGTCCAAAATTGTTGGAAATTCCACCAAACCAGAAGTGGGTGACTGGGTCGTCTTTGGAATTCTGAGCCTCCAGCGCCCAGGCCCTGGGCATCCCAGGCCACCTCTACTCGGAAACAGCGTGGGAAAAAGAAATCTTTGGTTGCAGCACTTCTGCTGCCTCGAGTCAAGAAAGCCTGGGGGAGCATGCCTGGTCAATCCATTTACTTGCGGCGCACGTCTGCAGCTCGCTTCCCCTGAAGTGCTGTATGATTTCCTGGTCGAACCAAAGAAAATACTCTGAAAACCTGCCAGGCAGTAACAAGGTCCTCAGGCTTGCACTTGCCAGTCCGGCGGATTGTCAAAGCGGCCCAGATTTGGCTTCAACTTCCCAGCTAGCACCTGAAGCTCAATCGTGGAACAGCGAATTCAGCGAAAGCAATCTTCGACACTGCAGAAAGAATCCCGACCAGCATCTTTTACTGCACGGATTGTAGTGCAATCCATGCACAACTTGTCACAGTGAGACATCCAATGTTTTCGGTCATGATTCAGCATGTAGGATGCAGCTTTCTGCTTTGCACCTAGCCGGTCAGGGAATAGGATGCAAGCGCTGCAGAGCGCTTTCCAATCTGCGCATGTTGGATTCTGCTTCCTGCTGGGCGCTGTCGGTCTGCGTATGTGTGTTCTCCGAGGGTATGTCCAGCTGCGCCGCCGCCTGGCATGCTGCTCTCTGGCTGAATTGCGGGCTCGTGTCAGGGTACGGCCCGACTGGACCGATAACGTCAGGCTTTCCTCTGGTACTGATCGCCTCAATTTCTGGCTTCGTCCAACCAAGGGCTGCAGCCCGATTTGCCAAGGCTGCCTCCACTTGGTCAGAAAGTTCTGTCTTGCGACGCTTCTTGGCATCAGGTCTTGGATCATCACGGGCCCAGTTCACAACTATGCACTTTGACAGCCCCAGCTTTTGGCCGGCCATGGCTTCTTTTGCAAACTCCGCGTTGCAGCGCCATGTGTATCTTACGAAAGCAATGGCTTTGGAGGGGACAATCCGCACATCCTCTACATCTCCCCATTGTCTGAAGCTGCTTTCCAACTCTCTCTGCACACTTTCAACTGCATCTGGAGCACCTCTATCGAACATCAAATCCCCAACAAACAGGGTAGTGCAGTCAGTGTTGAAGCTGCCAACACCGCCCATGTCGTCACGATGTGTCGAGTAACGCTCCCTCCCAAAAATGTCATGCGCCTCATCAGATGATGCCATGTCGAGAACGGTGGGCACATGGTGAAAATAGCGACACTTATGGCCAAATCCACAACAGCCACGCGCGTAGAACAAGCAAAATCCAGGACTTCCTGAGCCAGGGTGATCGGCTTGTGTCCAGCCTGAATCCTTCTCGGGATCACACCGGTGTCCTGCCTGAACTCTGTCTCGATCCCGGGGATTTCTGCGGTCCGAGAGATACTTGCCGTACCACACGTTGAAGTCCTCGTTGCCTTCAACATACTGAGGCTGCTCAGGGTTGTACGGAACCTGCACCCTGGCCGGCGTGGACATCCAATTGTTCTTGTGATCGGCCAGCCCAGTTTCCTTAGGCTCAGTCTCAAACGGCTGTTTGCAGGAGCTGCAGACAGCTGCCTGCCCTCCGTCTTTTGAACCTGCCGGGCAAGCAAGGCACAGAGAGAGAGGAAAGACTTGCAGACACTCGCTCTTCGGTCCACAAAGCTCAGAGCCTGAAGCTAGTTGGGCTGATGAAACCAAGCTGCCAAGTATGACGACAACTTACAATGCGAGCACAACGGCAACACAGGAAAGAGCCAGCCTGCTTCTCCTTTCTCCAATGTAACGTTCTGTTCTCCTTCTGGGTCTGGATCTACTGGTCGACATTCCCCAGATTGAACATTGAAGAAGTACGAGTTTCCTCAAGGCATCGATCAAGCGAACCACATGCGCCGTGCTAGTGACTACCTGCAGTTTGCGAGCTGAACAGAGCGACTCTCCTGAATCGTCTTCAAATGATACCCACACGGGGCACTGTAGCAAGTCGGCGTCCATGGCCAGGAGGCTATGTGAAACGCATTAGCGCCCTCTAAATTCATGTTGAGCTAGATGGCCTACTGGCTGCTTGAACAATGCTATGCTGCTATAAACATCTCAGCACGCTTGACCACCTGCAGCTGCATGACTCATGGAGCAGCAGAATTGCAATGCATGAAGTCAAGCATCGCGCGGGTCAGGCCACTTTGTTGAGGCTCAGACTGTCAGAGCAGTGGACTTCCCAATGCCGTTTGTACCGACAAGACCCAACACTTGTCCTTCAAGCAAACGACAGAGATGTACTCAAAGCCATTTTTCCATGGGCGTGCACGCAGAACACCAGCACAAGGGCGGTGCACGCTGGCTCCTGCACGTGGCGTTGGCAAGCGATGGAGCTTGAAGCTGTTTGGTCCTTGCTGCCCAGAACAAACTCATGTCAGGGGCTTTGCATACCTCATCTGATGTCTGTGCCTGCCGTTCTTACAGAGGCCTCTAGGACACACTAGAATCGAAGGCCCTAGGTCTCGCACACCCTGAAGCACTGGCGAAGAAAGGAAAAAATGGGTCGGGCGGCAAGCAACAACCTAAAGTGACATTGTTTCCGCTGATACTGGCCAGACTTGTGCCAAGGCTACAATCACAGCAAGACAACCAGCCCTTGATGCCAACATCAAAACCCCTAGCTGCGGACAAGTTTCTCAATATTCCGTTGCTTCAGTTATTCACGTATGTTGTGGGTCAAGGTGTCTCAAGGTAAATATGTCAAACAACACATTTCTCAGGCTTTCAGCTGACAGGGCAAGCCCAATGAGGAGGATAAGGAGGAACACGTCGAGTTACTTCTTGTCAGAATTTGTGTGAAGCTAAGTGTCTGATTGCCACGCACCTTTTGGTGCGCAAAAACTCCTGAAGTGATGGCTGGGACAAGCATCTGCAGACCCCTATCACTGCCGAGCACGTGTAAAATAGACGGCTCAAAATCGAGGATGTTCAAAATGTGCGGCAAACCAACAGCCAACTCAGATCCTCTTGTTCTGCAATTTCGGAACTAAACGCACCCAACTACAATCTCCATCGCATGTTGCACACGTTAACTTCATTTTGTCAGACCTCTCCCTTGTTCTCCCTCAGCACAGCTTGCATGGCCCGGCTGTTGTGATGGCAAGTGGGTTTCCTGCTGGCTACGGGCTGCTTGACAAACCCAGCCAGCCGGATGCAAATCATACGAAATACGGGCACCAGGTCATCGCTTCAACAAAGTTTCACCATGCTGGCTTAGTAGCTGCTTTCTGTGCGTGGTCGTTGGCCACTAACGTGCAACCTCCCGGCTGATCCTGTGAAGCAATCTCATTTATGGTGGAAGCACAGTTGATCCTGCTCGAAACCTTTTGTTTGCGCTTCCTTCAGCTGCCATGGCAAACGGACCAACCAGCCAAGCTATGCTGGGTCTCTGTTCGCCTCCAACCCTCACGCTGTCCAGAGCTTGCAAGAATCTGAAAGCTGTTGACTGAGCTGCCATCCATATCGATGGGTCGTGTGACTTGACAGGTCCTGGCTTGGGATTCAAATGTTTTCAAAGATTGCCAAGATCTTGAGCAGAATGCACCTTCGGCAAGTTGATGATGTTGATGGCCTTTCCGTTCCGAAGTCAAATCAAAGCAGGTCACCGTATGACGGCAGATGCTACATGTCGTCCGCTAAGGTCATTGTGACAGAGCAAGGTGGCAAAGCAAAAGAACGCTTCGGGATTGAAACCACTGGGCCCCAGACCCAGATGATCAACAGTCGCAGAAGCTCAGACAAAAATGCATAGTCCCTTCTGAAACCTATTTGACAGGGCTACCATGGAAGATTCATCGATCAAAATCTACTAAACCAACCAATGAACTTTCCAGTTGTCAACCAATCACTCTTCACAGTCACAATCACAGCAACCTTCATCAATCCTCTGTGCACTCACACAATGGCAGCAGTCCAGTCTTCAACCAAACACTATTTGGTGTTCATTCATGTATGCTGCACATGTGGCATACAGTCTGAACCATTGTGGGAACAGTGTCTTTTGACAGGGACGACCAACCGACCGAACACGACCAACCGACCGGATCGACCGGGAAGGGGCCAGGTAATAGAGCCCGACCTCAGGGAAGCGAAAAAACCTGGGACACAAAAAACACGGGGCCAGGCCGCCAAACGAGTTGACATTAATCCTTGAACCCTGCACCTGAACCCTTACGCCCTCAACATCCCTCAACCCTAATTCTGGGACCTTAAACCCTCCAGCCTCGATACACAGAAACTGGAAAAAGGCCCCAGCGCTCGCGAGTGAAACCACAAAGTCAAAGGGGTCAAACCTTATGCAAATTCGATCAAGCAGAGAAGGTGGAGACTTGTTGCGGGTATTCTCTATGCCGGTAGGTGATTCTGGGACACTCCCGGGGGCTGGGGCCGAGGGTCACTTAGCCAATGCTCAAGGTTTTCGTGCGAGAGGTGTGGCAGTTTCTGCTTACTTGACCGAAAAAACAGGGGGTCACTTAGCCAATGTTCAGGGTTTAAGGTGTAGGGGTTTAGGGGTTTAGGGGTTTTCGCTTAGGGTGCAGGCTTAGGGTTTAAGGCTATGCTTTAGAGTCTCGGGTTAAGGGTTTAGTTTTAGGGTTTTACTGTTTTAGGGTTTTAGGGTTTAGGGTTTAGAGTTTAGGCTTCAGGCGCTTTTGAAATTAGGGTTAGGGTTAGGGTTTACGGTTTAGGGCTTGGGATTAGGGTTAGGGTTTGGGGTTGGGGTCTGGGGCTTAGGGTTTAGGTTTTGGGTTTTCTAAGGTTTAGGGTGTTAAGGGTTTTGGATTTAGGGTTTAGGGGTTTTGGATTTAGGGTTTAGAGCTCAGGGGTTTGGATTTGGGGTTCGGGTTAAAGGGTTTTCGATTTAGGTTTAGGGTTTGGGGGTTTTGGATTTGGTGTTTAGGGTTTCGGGGGTTTTGGGTTCGGGGCTTAGGGTTTACGTGTTTTGGATTTAGGGTTGAGGGTTTAGGGTTTCGGGGTTCTGGATTTGGAGTTTAGGTGGGATTTAGGGTTTAGGGGTTTAGGGGATTGGGATTTAGGGTTTAGGGTTTAGGGTTTAGGGGGGTTTGGATGCAGGGTTTAGGGCTTTTGGATTTAAGGTTTAGGAGTTTGGGATTTAGGGTTCAGGGTTTAGGGATGAACAGGCTCAACCTCTAAGGGAGTCTCAGGATTTAGGGTTTAGGGGTGTGGGATTTAGGGTGTAGGGGTTTTGAGTTTTGGGTTTTGGGTTTAGGGGTTTTGGATTTAGGGCTTAGGGTTTTGGATTTAGTGTTTAGGGTTTGGATTTAGGGTTTGGGTTTTAGGGTTTAGGGGTTTTGGATTTAGGGCTTAGTGGTTTTGGATTTAGAATTTAGGGTCTGGGGGTTTGGGATCTAGGGTTTACGGTTTAGGGGTTTTTGATTTAGGGTTTACGGTTTTGGTGGTTTTGGATTTAGGGTTTAGGGGTTTTGGATTTAGGGTTTGAGGGTTTGGGATTGGGGCTTCAGGGTTTTAGATTTAGGGTTTAGGGTTCCGGGGTTTTGGATTTAGGGCTTAGTGTTTTGGGTGGTTTGGTTTAGAGGTTGGGTTTAGGGTTTAGGGGTTTTGGGTTCAGGGGTGTCGGATTCAGGGTTTGGGGTTTAGGGTTTGGTGGTTCTGGGATTTAGGGTTTGGCGGTTTTGGAGTTAGGGTTTAGGGGTGAAGGGTTTGTTTTTCTGTTTTTATCGCGGCTTGGGGTCTAGGGTTTAGGGTTCAGGGGGTTTTGATTGAGGGTTTAGGGGTTTTGGATTTAGTGTTTAGGGTTGGGGGGGCTTCAGAGGTTTTTTGGAATTAGGGTTTACGGTTTGCGGGTTGGGATTTAGGGTTTGGAGGTTTTGGGATTAGGGTTTGGAGGTTTTCTGATTTAGGTTTAGGGGTTTGGGATTTAGGGTTTAGGGTATTCGGGTTAAGGATTTAGGGTTGAGGGGCTTTGGATTGAGGGTTTAGAGTTCAGGAGTTTTCGATTTTGGGTTGAGGGGTTTTGGATTTAGGGTTTAGGGTTTGGGGGTTTTGGATTTAGGGTTTAGGGGGTTTTGGGTTTGGGGTTTAGTGTTTTGGATTTAGGGTTTAGGGTTTCGGGGTTCTGGATTTAAGCTTTAGGGTTTAGGGTGTTTGGGTTTAGGGATTTTGGATTTAGCGCTTAGGGTTCAGGGGTTTTCAATTTTGGGTTTAGGGATTGGGGGTTTTGGAGTTAGGGTTTACGTCGAGTGCGCTCAATGATGAGAGCATCCATGCCAAAACCATAATAACGATCGTGTTCGATTGCACTCCATGATGAAGGCATCCATGCCCAAACCATAATAACGATCGTGTTCGACTGCACTCAATGATAAGAGCATCCATGCCCAAGACATAGTAACGGTCCTGTTCCAAGAGCATACTGTTACCAGAGCATCCATGCCCAAACCATTATAACGTTCGTGTTCGAGTGCACTTGATGATGAGAGCATTGATGCCCAAGCGATACTTCTGTTCGTGTTCGAATGCACTCGATGATGAGAGCATCCGAATAATAATACCCATGATACTAACAGTGAGAGTGCTAATGATGACAATAGCCAGAATACAAGGCTGGTGAAGGGGGGTTTGACGAAGGGGGCAGGGGTTAGCCGATCTTTGTGGAACCATCGCAAAGCGGATGGCTGTTGAAACACGATATGGACATGCAACACGGACCCCAACACATGCCCGCAGATGCCTCCGTGCTACTAAAGTGACGGCTGAAGGAACCACTTGGCCGCAGAGCAGCGAGCATAAAAATACGTGTGTAAGCGACCCCAAAAAACGTTTGCTAAGCGACCCTGATTTTTGTTGGCAAAAAAACGTTTGCTAAGCGACCCTGATTTTTGTTGGCTAAGCAACCCCTTTCCCAAAATTTCCAAATCTGAGGATGCTCCACGCGAGAGCACGATTTCGAAGCAGAATATGCGGACGTGTCGCTTCAAAATGTCATTCAAACCAGATGGCATCGACGTCCCCAACGAGAACGCGCTGTGGAGCCGAAACGTAGGAATGCTCTACGCGGGAGCAGGATTTGGATCCAGAATATGACGCCAGAGAACGATGCGTAACCAATGTTTTTCCACGAACAGAACTCGGAGCCAATGCGAAAAGAAGCGTGCGTTTCCAATCTAGCCTCAGATTGTGTCACAGTCGTCGCACATTTGCACAACATGAGCGAAGACGCACACATTTGATTTCTTGCATTGCGGTCGTGAGATTTGTTAAATATTCCGACTGCTTTACACAACTTACAGAACTCAGCAATAATACAAGCTGAGCATGATAATTTGTGAAATGATGAAAACTGGTAATACAGTTGAGAAATGAGAAAAAATGACACAAATACTGACAATGCGAAATATTCGTAAAATTGCATACCATGAAAAATGTTGAAAAGTGATCAAAATGGCGAGAAAAGGTAAGGCATGATCAAATATTATGACGGTGAGCTTGTGCACATGTTTCGTAAAACAACAAGGGGGTCGGGGAGCGCGCAAAACAGTCTGTGTTTCCTTCCGACATGTTTGATCGGACAATGATAAACCTCCAACTGCTTTCTACCTTCTACTCCATCTTGAATCCGGTTGTTACTTGGTGGCGGTCGCGTGCATCGCGCGCATTGCTGCCCATGTGTGGTTTTGCGGTTCAAGTCGCCGCTGAGGAGGTCGTGCTCGTCGCGAGGTCAACCCTGCAACCCTCCCCTGGAACACCCCCCCTCTGACCTTTCCATACTTTCTCGATGGCGCGTTTTCGCTGCGTGGCAGCAACAAAGCGGCGCGCGCGCGCGCGAAACTGACTCGAACCACCGGGCAGGGCTTCACGCCGCGTTGCCGAAGGCAAAGTTTGCAATGCCCGGTTTTCTTGCCCTGCCGCCACATTCGTTCACTGCACATGTCTGCGTTCCGATCTAGCCCGCACCTACCGCAGCGTCGTACTGCAACGCAAGAATTGCAGACACGTGTCCACGTCTTTTTCGGGTTTTTTGTTTCCTTCGGAAAACAAATGATCTCCTGGAAGTTCAAGCACACAGCGCATCGCCAGGGCTTGTTTTGTTCAACGAACGCCTGTACGTTTTCTTGCAGACACGCGTCAAATGCCAGCCACGCCGCTGATAAGGCCTGCATAGGCCCGGCCGCCGGAGAAAGTCGACCACAGCGGCCTCCAGTCGATGGCAGCCACGCCCATCCGGCGCTGCGCGCGGAACGCCCATGTCCAGCGGTGCCACCAGCTCCTGGTAGTGCTCCTGTCAATGATGCATGAGTTACGGATGTGGAGCGTAAAGTAAATACTATCGCCGACATCCGCGTGCCTGCGTCAAGCGACAACCCTCAGCAGCACCAGATTCAGAACCAGAGTGCGAAAAGGTAAACAACGCCACTCCAGCACAGACGTCGAGGTTGCATCGAGACAGCGCAGAACCTCCGTTGTCGCAAACAAACCCGAACAGAAGCGATGAACGCCCTCTTCACCAACCGGGACTCAACCAGACCGCGCCCTATACGAACCTGGCACGTCTCTTACATCAGACAAGGGGCGTTGTTCACCTTCTTGGTGCGAAGACGCTTAAGCAGCTTGGATGGCACCCCGTCACCACGAGGCGCAATACGCCGGCCCTCCTGATCAGGTAAGACACACTAGCATTCTTGCTTCTTGAACCTGAAAATGGAAGCCAATCGTCGTTTGGACCTAGGAAGACCTACAGACTGCGATGCCTGCTGCTGGGCTGCCATGCTGAGCCGCGCAGTGGCCAGCTGGTAGAACAGGCGAGCGCACCCCTTCTCAAAGCGCAGCCGGGTCGGGGAAGCACGGGCCTGCCAATATACGCACTAAAAGATGTGCCAAACTCGGGCAAAAGCACTCGGTTGAAAGGGTTTGGAGTTTAGGGTCTGGGGTGTGTAGACTTTACAGTGTTTAAGATGTGGGGTTCTGGGTTTAGGACTCATCTGAGGGTTTGGAGCTTTAGAACTTGCCTTTGGGTGGTGGTGGCGGCGGCGGCGGTGGTGGTGGTGGTGGACCGCGAATCTACCTAGAATCGTAAAATGCTGCTTACTGGCCTGGACTTTCCTGGCTCTGGTTCAGCTGGTATTGCAAAGAAACGTGCAACCTTGAAACGAAGGGGCGTGTTCCGCCTCAATCTGCGCCAGGCGATGCGCCACCGCCTCGCGGTTGGCCAGCACCAGCCGCCACGAGAACATCTGCCGCAGACGTCGAAAGCAAAGATCGCCTGGCAGCGGTGCTTGCAATTGAAACTCAGACATGCAAATGATGTGCTGCCGCACTCGGGCAGCTTCGAAAAATACATGACAGGCCAAACCTGTACATCGCGCGGCCCGGAGATAGGCGCCGAAGCCGCTCACGGCCGCGCGCCGTTGCTCAAGGCGGACCGCTGCCCGCCGCGCGTCCCGCGCCGCATTGCGTGGCATTAATTTTGAGGGTAGGACCGCTCGACAGGCTCAGTACAGGGAAGTTTGCAAATAAACAAGGTTTCAGATGCACTGCTCGTCTGTTTGATTTGTCGGACA